ATTGAAATTTAAGGAAACTTATGTTTTCTCAGACGATTTTTACGTCTGAGTAAGCGAAGGGTCGCTGCATAGCAGCGTATTAGATTTGACTTGCCTTTAGTATGGATGTCCTTTTTCTAGCAACTAACGCATATATCAGGCGACCTCTCACATATTTCGACCTCTGCACATTTGATATTTAGAGACAAATTTAGAGATGCATTCTATGTCGAGTTTTATCCGTTTTTGGTAGGCACCCAATGCAGCTGGTACCACCTCCACTCCAGTGACTTTGGCCCCGAAAAGCGCTAGAGAATAGCATGAATTGTGCAAACGCCCATCGATGCAGTACTAGTCCCGTATAGACGTTCGAGAGCAGCATTTCCCAGTACGAACGGTGCGGCTGTTGTGCGCGTCGTAGCTGAAAAGACCATACTCGGTTCCATTCGCGATGTAGACGGAATCGAAGCTGTGTATTATGACAACTTGTCCCCCCAACTGTCATTATTATACCCCGGCCTGCAGTCGTCCGAACTTGAGCAATCCAATTCTTTACCCGAGCGCATGTCAAATACGCGGTTCATCGCGTAGTAAGGAGCATCGGTCGCGGAGCTTACGACGTCGGAATACCAGCGCGTTCCCTCCAAGTCTTCGTACCAACCGTTCTTCCAGCCCCCACGAGGACGATTCAGCCACTGGATAGTACGCTCGTGATGAACACTTCGATTGACTCCTCGAAAACCCCTGCTAAAGTTGACCCATCGGCTGTACCCGCGTATGCATTGTACAGGTGAAACGTACACGCGTCTCCTCCCCACGACGGTATGATGTGCCGAGCGTAAGTAAAGGCCGTTGTCCCAGTACGGCATGATCAGGATTGGGAGATTGTTGCTGACCCATTCATCAAGAACGCGCAGATAATCCCGAGTAAGGTTTTTATAACCGAGCGCTACGCTCGCGTCGTAGATATTTTCAATGGTACTCGCGATCAAGCCGCATGACGTCTCATAAATTGGCTGGGCGATGGAATTAAGAGTGTAGGCGATGGAGTCCCCACGAGGCTGTCGGATCCGATATCCGTGCTTCGCTGTCCCAGTGGCATCTTCGAGGACAGCAGATACGCCAAAAGCGAGCTCACCAGTTTTGGTTCGTAAAAATGTTCTTCGCCTACACAGGCGATTACACGGTCCGAGTACGGCACATCGTTTGAGCCGACAATCTGTGAGGGCCCCAGTAGCGGACTTCTACCGTACTGAATATGGGTTTCAGTCGTGATCGAGTCCCAGAAGGCGCCAAGTAGCTGCGAGAGCATGAGAACGGTGATGAATACGCAATTGGTGCAATGGTACAGACCCATTAACAGCTCATGAGTCTTGAAGCTAGCCTTGCGCGGTGGCGTGTGTCCCTGGCAATCGTCTGACGACGCTATCGGACGCACTTGAATCGACCAGTATGAATTATTGACGTTGGTTCTTGAGCGACTAAAGCGCGCGGTAGGAACAACAACCTGGTGCAGAAGAAAGCGGGCCAAGTCCTTCATGATGCACCTAGGAGATACTTCTGTTTTCACGGTCTCTAGTTCCTCAAATAGTTTGCCAATTAGTGCGTAGGCATTCACCTAAATTGTAGAATCTTGTGAAAGCAGACCCCCCCAGCACTTTTGTGATACTTTGTTCGGCATTGGATGTTACAGGTGGACACTCGCCACCAGCTAATTTGTTGCAGTCGCGGATCGTTCAGTCTCCACATCTCTGGTTCTGTGTCTTGAAGTGCCCGACCTCCCGCGAGTTCAGCGTCTCCGTTATCTACCACGGGCCGCAGGGTCCACACGACCACACGGTGGTTCCACAAGTGGCAGAACGCTCGGAATGGGGCCAGGACAGCAGATCCCATTCGTCGAAAGTGATGAGGTACTGGTCGCCGTAGACGAGATACCCGAGCCGAATGAGCTCATAACTGTTGACAAATTCAATCCCCATGCTGGTACGGGCTTCCAGAGCTAGAAGTGGGTCCAGTAGCTGTTGGCTCAAGGAGAGGCGTCACAGGGAACCCCTGTGACGCCTCTCCTTGAGTCATTACGCCGCTATTGCCTGCTACCCGTTCACTCGTGTAACTTGTTGATGACACGCGGCGCAAGTTCCGATCAACCACTACCACAACGTAAGTCAGGGAGCGTCCGAGACCTCCATCGCTTTGAGCTTGCAGAGCCAACGCTTCCTCCACACCGTGAACGGTTAAATCCTTCGAGCGGTTCTCAATCGGAAGCGACTTTGCAAATACTAGTGGCAGCAAGTTGATACCAAGGATGGCCAACTCCAGCCCAAAGATGATGGAAACTCGGCCGTTCATCCGCCAGGAGATGTCTGTAGTAAAAGAGTTGATCAATTGGAGTCTTTTCACTTCGTCCGAGAAAACCACAGTTCCGATGCGTCCGTCGACGCCCCTAAGCCAACCAGACGCAGCAAGTTCAACTCGGAAGTAGTGCAGCAGACACAAAGCAACGACGGTAGGGGTGAACAATTCATCAGAAATTCGCCGTCGGAGGGCTTGAGCCAGTAGATTTAGGAGACTGAAGTAGATTAGCACAAAGTTGGCGATGCTGACCTTCAAACCGATACCCAACAGTCCAGAGGCATGGTACTGCTACCAGGGCCGCCGAAAATAGCATGGCCATAACAATAATGACCATAAATAAATATGGATAATGTATGTTGGCCATTTTCGCTTGGCCATAACATTATTTATGTCATGATGTCCTAGCAATACTTGTAATTGGGCAAATTATCAGAAATAAATCTTGAAATTTAGAGAGACCAATACAAACTGACTGCTACTATTGAGGATCACTGCCATCATGTCAGTGACCCTCTATAGTAGCTGCCGACGATAAATCGATCTCAGCCAGGACGAGAAAAGCAGCTTGACTGGTACTTGAACGCACGCAGTGCCACAGTGTTACCTTCATCTTCTCCGAATCTAAAGCAAATATACCCTCATTTATCAGCATTGGATATTGCAGGTTGACACTTGCCACCATCGAACTTGTTGCAGTCTCGGGTCGTCCAGACGCCACATCTCTGGTTCTGTGACTTGAAGTGCCCGACCTCCCGCGAGTTCAGCGTCTCCGTTCGTAGCCAACAGTCGAAGTATCCAACCGAGCACCCGGTGGTTCCACAAGTGAAAAAACGATCGCAATGGCGCCACCGCTGACAGTCGACCCGAGAAACTAGGGCTGCGAAGGCTGAGATAGGATTGGTTAACTCACCTTTGACCGCCATTGATAAACTCAATCCGCACGCTCCACGGACATCTCCTGCGCCTGCTTCGCAGCCGCAGAATCTGCCCGACAATCGCCGCTATGGTCACGACGTACAACCGATTTTAGAGCAAAATCAATAACGAATCTTAACTCGACGAATTTGCAAATGAACTGGACCAGCCTCCACCATTCTTGAGAAGTCTAAAACACTCGGTCAATCGACATCAGTTACTGTAAATTGACCTAAAGACATGTTACCGGTTCATCACCGGTGTCGATTGGACAGAGTCGAGACTGTGGTGTAGTACCCCGCGGAAGAAGTGGGCGCGCCGGGCGCCGGAGTAAGAAGATGCCGGGTTGCGAGTGATGGACTTCGACACGGCTGATGGAACGCGACGCGGATTGATGGGCGCGACGCAGGGCCGAGCTCGATGGGAAAGTCGGCGTGGGTGATGGGCCGCGAGACACGGTGCCAGAATCCAGTGCGCGCGTAATCATCCGACGGGTCGACCAGCGCACCCGGTTCTGCAAAACGCGCCGACCCTAAACCCCGCCGAGCAAAACGCGCCGAGGTAAGATCTTGATTGCGCCACGCAAACCAGGTTGAAAGGACGGCAGTGCAAGCACGACGGAAGTAGGGATAGGCCCAGAGCGGTAGCCTTAGCAAGCAGTAGTACAGAGTAGCCAGTAGCAAGGACATAGGATAGGGTAAGGACTCAGTCCCGAAATTTCTCTGAACCACAAAGACCTCCGGATCTCCTCGGTTCCAGGGGAACCACCAAGCGTCGGCAAGCAGAGCCGCCTCGATATCGCGGCCCCCCGTCGCCTGCTGGTTCGGGTGCTCACCCCCTCACCCCCGTGCTGGAACAAAGGCACGTTAAACGTATACCGTTTAGGTGGGCGCCCGATAACGCGCTGCCAAGGTGAAGGACCGCACTGGCCTGATAACCGCCGTGCACAAGACCCCGTGTTGGCCCGATAACGCCACACAAGACCCAGGAAACGCCGGCCTGATAGCGCCGCACGCCCGACGGGAACGCCAAGGAAACGCCGGCCCGATAACGCCGCACGCCCAAGGCTCGACGCCCTACGACAAGGAACAAGCGTCAACACAAGAACCCCCCCAACTCCGAAGCCTGCGAAGACTTGGGCCTGTATTTCGAAGATACGCTACTCCAACAACCGGGAATAATTCGCTCGGCGCGACCGCTATCCAGACGCGCCGAGTTTGTGCGAGATCGCATTCGCGAGATTTCTGCGAGGGCGCTACTCCAGAAGACCAGCGTCTCCCAGTGGGTGCCTTGCGATACTAGCATAGCCACCCAGCTTAAGCGCCGTCTTATTCCCAGCACTATGTCAAGCTTAAAATGGGATATGACGGTCTTAATCCGAGTCTCTAGAATTGCGGCTACGATACCGACATAAAACATGGCACAACAAGGCTGCCACATCCTGTTCCATGTGTCACAAATGCGCTTGCTAATTATGGTAATGTGGCCAATATAACTGGACAGATGGCCGTCATGTTGTGAGCTTAAACTTGGGATGGCTCAGTTGTCCCTCACTTCGATTTCTAACCCCTCAGCGAAGAGCAGTCGCCATGGAAGACTTCTGGATACTCGTGTGCGCTTCGTGGCGCTGCCGGGATGGCGAGCTCAAAGACCTTCGCAAGGAGCTCAACGAGATGCTTCTCGATGAGGAGTGGCGGCGGGTTATGCGGACGCGCCACGCGTTGACAGCTGAATGTCTTACCAGTCCCTCTGTGTCGGCATGGATGTGCTATGTATACTAACGGAACTGACGCAAATTTTCTTAACGTGACGAGTCTTACGCGGTAAGTTACATCTTTCCGTAGCCCAGGGTTTTTCTTGGAAGCTTACATAAATGTTGTGTTATCCATGCAGTTATGCCTTTGAAACACTGCTTGTCCAATCCAAACCTTTCTTCTGCATTCCGCCACCGAGCCGTCGAGGCGGGCGCCCTCGCAAGCTTCGATTTCATCACCAGGTTCTTGGTGCTCTTCTACACTTCTGGAGTACTCGACCCTGTGCATGGTGTTTGGCGTGCCTCCAGCAACACTATCAAAAATCATCTGCCGTGCTGAGCGTGCTCTCGCTAATGCGCTGGTCGGTTTTGCTCCTGTTCGCATACGCTGGCCCTCACCACACCACCAATTCCAGTTAGCCAGACTCGTTCAAGCTCGCGAGCCACTGCTACATTACACTTTCGGGTTCGTTGACGGAGAGAACTACAGAGTAGGTTGCCTAGGTGCTAGTGCGGGAGGTGTTTGCTGTATTGGTCAAAACTAACATTATTATGGATGGCATGCAGGTACAGGAGCCGTCAAATGCTGATCTCCAGAATGCTATGTATAATGGCTGGATGCACACTGTGTTTGTGACGGGCACCATCCTATTCGCTGCGGATGGCTGTATTGTATGGTCCAAGCACAATTGCCCCGGTTCCTGGAATGATTCAGACACGTCGCTGGAGATGCGGGAAAAGCTGGTAGACCCGGCGGTCTGTCCCGATCCCCGTTATGGCGTTGTAGCTGACTCGGCTTTCCCCTGCTCGGGAGATATGGTAGGCAGGATACTTACACCGCTAAAGGATGGTGATCTGGAGAGGATTCAGCCCGCACTCAGGAGCGCAGCCCGAACGATGAACAACGCAATTCTTTCCGTGCGGCAAGCCGCTGAGTGGGGCATGGGCAGCGTCGAAAAGGTGTACAGCAGACTGCTGCTTCCATTTCCCTACGATCCCGAGGTGAGAGGAGTGCGGCTTGGCAAGTTGTTGTTTTGGCTGCCCAATTTTAGAGTTCGCAGTGTGGAGATCTCACAACTCCGAACGACGTTTAGCGGTATTTACGAGCGGAGCATGTATTGCTGAAGCTAGGGTGGACTTTAATACATCCGTAACATTGCGTGTCGCGGTATTTTTGTTAAGGTTTCTTCTTGTGCTTCATGAAGATTTTGTGTTTGTTGCGGTCGTGGATGTATCTTCCCTTTGCCTGATATCGAACACAAGCTATGCTAGTAACTTCGCTACATGATGCTGCATCAAGCGGCAGAGAATAAGACAAATGTTTGAGCGAGAACAAAGTACGCTTTTCTCCCCCGGTTATCAGTCCCTTCTTCTGTCTCAATGAACGTGGCTAGCACGAGGAGGCTCCTACTTCTTCGTCAGAGCGGAAATGAGGCACATCAGTTCCTGTGCACGCGCACGACTCTCTTCCTTCTCCCGCCGGAGCCGCTCTTCTTGATCGATCCGATCTTGGCGGCGGCGTTCCTCGGCAGCAAGGATTTCTTCACGCCAGCGCGCTTCGTTTGCTTCTCTTTCTTCTTGGCGGCGAATTTCCCTCTCTCTAGTCTCATCACGGCGCCGCTGGTCTTCTTTCCTCTCACTCTCTTCACGCATAATCATCATGGTTTGGAGCAGATCGAATCCAGCTTTAGATGTCAACGCCTCTTGTGTCTCCAGCTTTCGCTTCAAAGCGGTGGTCGCACGCTCAGCACGCATGCGTTTTGCTTTGCGTAGCTAGCTTCTTGTGCGTACAAATCCTCACTCCGTTTGAGGCCGGCGTGGGTTTGCAGCGACGCCAAGTCACCGCCTCCGAGACGATTGTGGCGATCCAAGAACGGCTGACCTCCGCTTGCACGAGATTCCCGGCGTTTCAGCGGGGTCGCATTGGCAGACCTCGAAGGCGTTGACCCCGTCGTAGTCACCCTTGGTGCTTGCAGGGATGCGGCTACACGCTTCGATGTTCGGGTTGGCTGGGCAGGTGCCATGTCTGCCACCAATCCTGCGGCCCCGGCCCCGGCTGGAAGCCGAAGCAGCAGCAGCAAAAGCCTCAAGCCCTTCTGTAGGCGGGCTGTCATCGTCGCTCAAAAGGATGTCAAGCATATCGCGGGGGCGTTCTCCATCACCAGATGTATTCGTGGTGTCATTTACGGTGGCCGCTTGGGCCAGCGGGATCGCCGGGTCAAACGGCGCAAATACGTCGTCTTCACCGTGGGGCGTCGATAGAGAAAACTGGCTGTCTCCGCCTGCAGCGACATCGGCGTCGTTGGCATCGTCTTCCGACAGACTATCAGCATCGACCCCATCATCCATCTCCTTTGCCCCGGCCTTTAGATCGATTTCGCGTTTGAGAGCCTTCGCTTTTAGGATGTGCTTAGGAATTTCACCTCTCCCACTTGGCTTGCGGGTGCTGCACAACTGCCGTATGTCTGGCGTGCGGAAGATTGGAAACTGATTGATTGAGAGGCCTTAGAGTCGAACCGCTACTCTAGTTCCTGTGTGCTCTGCACATCACAAGCTAAGTACTCAAATCGTATGATTCTGTTCTAGAAGCTATCATAGTGAGTGTAGGAGAAGACAGTGAGCAGCACCGCTTGAGGCAAGCGTTCTCGAAGGCTCCAGACGCCTAGGCCGTTTGGGATACGGCATTCTCCCCCACGACGGACCTGTATGGGACGAGGCGGCGAATGGTGTATCGTTTCGACGTACGCCGTGCGCTGGATCTGGACGGTGCCGTTGTTGTTGGTCTTGAGGATCTTGAACGGGGCTCTTGTCCTTGACCATGGGCACTAAGTCGCCGACGCGGTACGTGTGGTTGAGTCTGCTGCTGTTCTCGCGCTGGTTGTCGCGCTGTACCTGACGTAGCTTGCGTTGTTGGATACGCTTCCAGTCCGCAGCGAACTTCGTGTTGAGCACCATGTCTCGTCCGAAGACGAGTTGCGCGGGCGACGCCTCCTTCGTGGTGGACACAGTGGCTCGGATGGCAAACGCGATGCTCGGCAGCACCTGCTCCCACGTGTTGGCGTCCAGATCGGAGGTGCGCACCATGTCACCAAGCACCTGGTGCAGGCGCTCGAGCACGCTATTGGCTTGGGGGTTCTTGACCGTGGTCGGGCGCGGCGTGACTCCGTAGCTGGTGAGCATCTCCTGGAACTCGAAGCCGGTGAACTCGTTGCCCTGGTCGAAGACGCAGACTTCCGGTCTGGGGTAGCGACAGAACCACTCGGCATCGAGCGCGAGGGCGGCCGTCTTCGCCTCCTTGTCGTTGATTGCCTTGCCCTCGAACCAGCCTGTAGCGGGGTAAATCATTGTCATCGCGCTGTACTTCTTGCCTGTCGGCGCGTGCGTGTAGGGACCGACGAGGTCAACGCAGAGAACTTTCCATGGCGTGAGGACTGGATCCACCGCAGGTAACTTGCCGTACTTCTGCTTGTTGCGCTTCCACTTCTGGCAGATCTCGCAGCGGCTGCGAGTCATACCTGGATGCTTGAGTTGCTCGTGGTACCAGCATGTGACGCGCTGTTGCAGCGCTGCAGGAACGGCGATGTGTTTGCCGAAATACACGATCTTGAACTTGCCGTGCAGTCTGATCTTGACTTGACGTTGACGCGCGAGTTGTTGTAGTTCTTCATCGTTCTGCTGCTCGCGATGGATGCGCTCGAAGGTCAGCGGGAACTCCTCGTCTTTCTGCTCCAGCTCGATGCAGACTTCGCCTTCAGAGTCTTCGACGTGCGGCAACCGGCTGAGCGCATCCGCGACCACGTTGTGTTGTCCTTTGATGTAGACGATCTCTGGGGCAAACTCTTCGACGATGAGGCGCCAGCGGTTGACACGGTCCGACTGGAAGTTTGCGAAGGACAAGTTCTTGTGGTCCGTGTGCACGACGATCTTGTGGCCGAGGAGGATATTGCGAAACTCTCGTAGGACTTCGACGATCGACAGGAGTTCCAGCTCCATCACGGAATACTTCCTTTGTGCGTCAGTCAGCTTCCGGCTGAAAAAGGCTAGCGGGCTCCCCTGCTGGCAGACTACTCCCCCCAGCTGGAAGGTGCTGACGTCCGTGAAGGCTGCGAACGGGAGGGAAAAGTCGGGGAAGTGCAAGGTGACTGCACTCTGTACGATGCGCTTGATCTTGTCGAAGGCACGCTGACAGTCAGGAGTCCAGTGGAAGGGCGTCCGAGGAGACGTGAGGGCCGACAACGGGGCCAGCAAGTGAGCTCGCTGCGGCCACATATCCCGGTAGAAATTGACCATGTCGATAAAGCGCCGGAGTTCGCGCTTGTTCTTAGGTGGAGCAAGCCGGTGGATCGCGGCGACCTTGGCTGGCAGTGGCTGGATACCGTCACGTGTAAGACGGTAGCCCAAGTACTCAGTCTCGAGGGCAGCGAAGCGGCTTTTGGCCATGTTCACCTGCAGACCGCTGGTGCGGAAGCGCTCGAAGACGGAGTGGAGGTGCTGGAGATGGTCTTCGAACGTCGTGCTCGTGATGACCAGCACGTCGTCGAGGTACACACGGACGAACTGAAGGTCCCCGAGCAGGAGTTGCATGCGACGCTGGAATTCATCGGGCGCAGTGCAGATTCCCATCGGGAGGCGCAAGTACCGAAACTTGCCCCATGGCAAGACGAATGAGCAGACGCGAGACGAGCGCTCTCCTATGACGATTGAGTAGTAGCCCATGTTCATGTCCAGCGAAGAGACGAACGTGAAGCGTTCGAGACCCTGCAGCAGCTCCGAGATTTTTGGCATCGGAAAGGGGTGGCGAACGAGGAGCGCGTTCAAGCGGCAAAAATCCGTCAAGAAGCGGGCTGTCTTATCCTTCTTCGGGATGATGAAGACGGGAGCTGCCCACGGACTGTTGGCATCACGCACGATGACACCAAGGCGTTCAAGCCGAGCGACCTCCTTCTTCACCGTGTCAAGGAGAAGACAGTGAGCAGCACCGCTTGAGGCAAGCGTTCTCGAAGGCTCCAGACGCCTAGGCCGTTTGGGATACGGCAACAACGTCTTGAACTTGCGGAGCTGGGCCACGGGGTCACAGGAATGATTTACGAAGCGCATCATACCACCAAAGGTTCTGCATCAATACCAACGCGGACACCAGCGGTTGGACGGTCTGGCGCGGTTTTCATGAGCAGCGGATAACCGTTGTTGGGTTCCCTCTTTTCACGAACCGGATGGACATGAACAATTTCCCCGAGATATTGCCCGATGACAACCCCAGCTTGAATCGTCTCTGTTGCGATGACGGCGTGCTGCCGCGTCTGGGTGTCCACTGTGAGCACGATTTTGTTGCTCTCTTGTAGCCCATTGCCACACAAGCCTTCAAAGGGGCAGCAGTTGATAGTGCAGTAGACTCCCATGCGAGCGTTAACGCAGGTTCCAGCTCTGCAGGAAGTGTTACACCCGCAGCTCGCAACAGTGTCAACTTTAGGAAACACCACTCCCGTCGGGTTGTACTGCTCGCGTAGGTGGGCTGGGCTACACGGTTTGGCCAATTTGCAAGCACAAAGCGACTGCGGGATCGTGCTTCGGCCGTCGTCGGAACTTCTCGGAAGCTGGAGAGCGCTTTTGGATTGATTAACCCACTCAGCAGTATCCATGTCGGTGGTTTTGCCTTTTTCGCGGCCGCCTGCGGGGGCCTTCGTCCCTCTAGCTGACGAGGATTCTGGTATGGCATTGCTCGGCACGATCGACGAGGTCTCCAGTCACGACGTTGGTTTGGTAGGCAGGATCCTCCTGCGACTCCGATGGGCTGTGAACGTACTCGGAGGATTGTGATGACTGTGTGCTACGGACACCTTCGATTGCCATGGCAGGCGGTGCTGGTCCAGCAGCGCTCAACTGAGGATGGGGTAGCAGCTCGCGAGAGCAAGACTTACCTTCCTGCTCAGACTCTTCGTCGCTTGGATAGTCGACGAGCAGCCTTCGAAACACACTTCCCACTCGAGAGAATGCGCGGACTTGCTCGACGCTCTCCTCCGGAACTTGACGGTGGATCTGCGCGACGCTCTCCTCCTGAACTTGACGGCGGACCTGCGCAATGCTCTTCTCCTCAACGTCATGGCGGACCTGCGCGATGCTTTCCTCCTGAGCGCGACGACGAAGCACTGCCGTAGAGTTTGGTTCGCACGGCGCTTCGGGGCTCGATGACGGAGACAATGCCAAGTCGATGACAATCACAGTCTCTGCAGCTCCAGACGCCCTCGCAGCTACGGATATCTTACTTGCGTTACCAACCTGTACACAGCAGCGATTAAGAACACGTTGGACTGACCTGCATCAATCTCATTGCCGTGCACTTACGGGCTTCATCGATCGAGACGACTGGCGGGATTCCTCCAACGGCGGATGTGGTGTCTTCGGCTGTGCAAAATTGATTATGACGCGAAGGCCGTTAAAAGGGCGTACAATTCTCGGGACGGTAGTGAACTCACGACCTGCTTAAGTCGAACTTATGCTGAAGGATTAATTTAATGAACCCCCCTCGGAGGTGTATCAGATCTACGACAGCTCTTAAACCGGGATTAATCGTCGTCATAAGCTCATCTTATACCTTTCTTTAAGACGGCTGCTTAAGTTAGTATCACAAGGCACCCAGTCGAAGACGCTCGTTCCGGTATGATGCACGAACGACCAGGCCTCCCGATTATGGCATTATTAGGGAGTAGTGCAACAAGCACTATGATAAATAATGCAGGGACTGTTTTATCAAAGAACAATACATAATTGCTACGTCTCAATACCACCGAATCAATAATGCATTCAATAATTTCTACGCAATTAGTAACTAAACTCTCCAAATTTTACATGTTTAAATTATGTAGAAAATGATAATATGAAGTATTGATTGAATATAATGGTTTCAAGTCAAGTTCGAGATCGCCTGAACCTGTGACCATACTGAAAAGACGAATATAAGATTATATTGGTTTTATGTTGCTTATATTGCTACATCAATAAAGCGCTATTACGAATCATACACCGCATTAATTGCTGTTCACGTCGGTACCGTTGAAATAAATAATTCCATGAGAAATGTCAATTAATTTTTCTACTAATTGATTTTTCGGGAGGCCTGCGAACGACTCGTACATGAACACCCCGAACTCGGTCCCATTGGCAATGGAGATGGAGCTGATCTTGCGGGGTTGGTCAGTTGAGCTGAATTTGTCGCCCCACCGCTGAACTAGGGCCGGTACCTCACAGTTATTCGGATCCGAGCAGTCAACCTCTTGTTCCGAGCGCATGTCGAACTGTCGGTGCATCATATTGTACTGGCCCCCGCGCCAAGAACTCTTAACGTCCGAATACCATCGAATCCCCTCCGTGTCCTCGTACCAGCCGTTCTTCCAGTACCCTCCTGTACGACCCAACCACTGCAACGTTCGTTCATGATGGACACTCAGGTTAACGCCTAGAAAACTCGCTATCCCTTGCTCACCAGTGTAGGCGCCTTCCAGTCGAAATATACAGGCGTCACCTCCCCACGTCGGAATGGCGTGACGCGCGTAGATTGCGTTGTCCCAATACGGCATGATGAGAATCGGTAGTGTGTGTGGGAGTTTGTACAGATCCTAACTGTTCCAGTCGTCCACAACACGCAAGTTGTCTTGAGTGAGGTTGGAGTAGCCCAACGCAGTGCACCCCGCGAAAATATTCTCAATGGTGTCGGCCATGAGCTCGCAAGATTTTGCGTAGATCGGGTACGCTGTCGAGTCGAGAGCGTCGGAGACTGATCCGCTTCGACGCTGCTTTAGTCGGTAAGCGGTTAATGAGATACCAGTGGAGTCTTCCAGAACCGCGGATTCCCCCGGAGCAGCGAGCAGTGAGCTCACCAACTTCGGCTCGTAGAACCGCCCCTTGCCAACACACGCGATCACTCGATCCGCGTAGGGCACGTCGTTGCTGCCGACGATCTGCGATAGTCCGAGCAAGGGACTTCTACCGTAGAGCACGTGCTCGTGTGTGGTGGTCGAGTCCCAGACGGCTCGTAGAAGTTGGGAGCACACGAGGCCGATGATGAAGATGCACGTCAGCCAATGGTACAGCCCCACGAGGACCTGGAATCTTGTTAACATCTTTGATGGTTCATCTGGCGCTGGGGCTCTTGATCTATACGCAGGCTGGACTCGAACTGGAGCGAATGCCCGCAGGACGAAGCTTGAAAGCGATCGCCGGGGGCTGTTAGTTCGGAAATCACTCGGCGGTGGGCAGCCTGGAGTAATGGAGGATCGACGTTGAACTGGCGACCAGCCTTGCATGCTGTCTGCGGGGATATGACGAATAATGTCGGTCTGCTGGCTATGTATGTACAAATAGAGTTGCTGCTCTTTTTATCGTTGAGCGCTAAATAGGTCTCCGCCGAGGCATGCATGCAAGGTGCCCACGCAAGCCCCAATGCAAAAATACAAGTTTTATCGAAAAAGTTCTGTGAACGAATGAACGGCTTCTCTCTGGGCTTGGCCGTCTTTACAAACCAATTTGATGATCAACAATCGTTGCAAAACTATCGGTGGCGAATATCAGTTCGCTGCACCCAGCTCTACGTAACAGCATCAAGGCGAAGAAGAAGAACAAATTGAACTCAATTGAATCCGAAAATCACTTTTGTTTTGTTGTTTTCCAGTAGTACTTCACACGTCGTAAGCTTACATTCTTCTGAAGCACGTAGTATTCAGCATTCCTTGTCAATAGAGCCTGGCTACAGGTTATCAATTGTAATCAAGGCAGCTGGTAACTGGTAATCCCGTCAATTGTTGCGCAGACGTTTTAAAGCGCGGATATCGTTGGCGTGAAGAGGGCGGCGGCGAAGAACGTGACGCCCACATGACCCTCACATTTCAACCTATCAACACTGAATGCTACAGGCAGACACTTGCCACCATCGAATGTGCTTGAATCGCTGATCGTCCAGACGTCACATTTCGGGCTCAACGCATTCAAGCGCCCGACCACCAGCGATCTCAGCATCCCCTTCATCTTCCGCTGGTCGAAGTGTCCACACGAGCACCCGGTGGTTCCAGAAGTGGACGAAAGATTTAAACGGAGCTATCGACGATAGCACGTCCCACTCGTCAAACGTGATGAGGTACTTGTCGCCGAAGACGAGGTATCCTAGGCGAATGAGCTCGTAGCTGTTGACAAACGCTACTTCGTGGATGCTGCTGGGGCCGTTATTGTTAAGGGGTTCTTCGGCTTGGACACAAAGTGGGGTGACAGGAGTCACCCAGGCGCGCGTTGGGTTCCATTCAACCTCTCGACTCCCACTTCTGTCGTTGTGGGCAGACACCAGTCGACCCGTGAAACTCATCGAGGCTACGTGGCGTTCTTTTCGATCAACCACGGCAATAATATACGTCAACGAACGCCCGAGTCCGCCTACATGTTTAGTGCGTACAGCCAATGCCTTCTCTATCCCATGAAGACCAAGGTCTGCACAGCGATCTCCGACTGGGAACGTGTGTGCCAACAGGAGAGGCAGCAAGTTGACTCCGAGGATGGCCAGTTTCACACCGAAGATGAGCGGCACTCGGCCGTTCATACGCCAGGCGATGTCTGAACTAAAGTAGTCGTACAGGTGCAGCTTCTTCACCTCGTCTGAGAACACCACAGTCGGGATTCGGCCGTCGACGCCCTTTAACCAACCCGATGCAGCAATTTCTAGGCGAAAGTAGTGCAACAAACACAGTGCGACGACCGTAGGCGTGAATAATGCATCCGACATTCGTCGTCGAAGAGCTTTGGCTAAGAGATTCAGGAGGCTGAAGTAAATCAGCGCGAAGGTTGCGATGGCTGGGTAGATAGCAAACCACGCTTCAGCTAGACCGACCTGTTGGCCCTCAAATCGGCAGCCCACGGTCCAGAATGCTGCGAGCGTCGTCTTTAATCGGGGTAATGACGCAAAAGGGAGAAAGGCAAAGCTGCTGGCGCCAGATACACAGCCGATTCCACCGCTAAACCACTGGGTTTTGCCTCGTAGAGCTACGGAGTGCAACACCACGATACCCAGCACCCACCGAAACAAAACCAATCCGACCGCTACGTTGGAGAGCAACGTTTCCCAGTCAAAAACACTTCTCACAATGTGCTGCTCGAACGATTCGTAGAATAACCCAAACTCGGTCCCGTTGGCGATGTAGATGGAATTGATCTTGTGACCCTTATCGGAGGAGCTGAACTTGTCACCCCATTGGTCAACATGAGGCGCATCTTCACAATTATTTGGGTCCGTGCAATCCACTTCCATCCCTGACCGCATATCGAATAGTCGATGCATCATGTAGTAAGGGGGCCCCGCCCACGAACTTTTGACGTCCGAGTACCAGCGTATTCGTTGTGGGTCTTCGTACCAGCCGTTCTTCCAGATTCCTTCGGGTCGCTTCAACCACTCGATCGTTCTGTCATGGCGGACACTTTGGTTCACCCCACGGAAACTCGCAACTGTAGAGCCGCTATCGACAAGCGTGTACGCATCCTCCAGCCGAAAAATACACGCGTCACCGCTCCAGGTGGGGACGGCGTGCCGGGAGTAAACTGCGTTATCCCAGTACGGCATGATGAGCACGGGTAATGTATTGGGAAGTTTGTACAAATTGTTGCTGTTCCAGTCGTCAACGACGCGGAGATTATCTCGAGTTAGATTGCTGTACCCCAATGCCTCACAGGCAGCAACAATGTTGTCGATAGTTTCGCTATCAAAGAACAGGAGGACTCGTAGACTTCAAGGGCTTCGGAGTCGAGCGTGTCGGTAACTTTCCCAACGCGACGCTGTCGCAAGCGGTAGCCATGAACTGCGTTGCCAGTCGAGTCTTCTAGTATTGCGGATTCCCCTGGAGCAGCCAGCAAGGAGCTTACCAGCTTTGGATTGTACTGGTTTCCATTCCGCACGCACGCTATCACCCGATCCGGGAACGGCACGTCGTTTGTGCCGATGATCTGTGAAGGTCCAAGCAATGGACTTCGACCATACACGAGGTGTTCGGTAGTTGTTGTGGTGTCCCACACGGCCCCCAGCAACTGTGAACAAACGATCGCGGTGATAAACAGACACGTGATCCAATGAGACAGACTGGAGGCCAAGTCGTGGAGTTGAACTCTCCTGAAAAATGACTGCTTGGCTTCGTTGGCATCTGTGGAGGACGCGGGGCGTACTTGTACTTGCATTGTTGTGGAAGAACTCCACGCTCCTACTATGGACTGTAGTAGCGTCCTCCTGGTGTTGAGTTTGGTGGCGTCTGAGTTTGACGCTGCCGGTGCAATGGACGGACTTCGGCCAACTCCTGAGAAGCGTTGCATGTCCAAAGCTGGTCGGAAACCACAATTGTAAAATATTCTGCTGCTGCATACTGCGAGATCAGAACCCGTGTCCAAAATAGACAAATCGATGTCCTATCGTATCGCTCGTCTCGACACAAAACCACTTGCCATTCCAGTTCTCTTATCTCGAATTTAGCTTCCCGGTAGATCGTCCCAAAGCCCCACATTTTTTTGAAAAGTTGAAATCCACTTACTCACACTGATGCAGCTTCTGGAACATGGTTCCAAGTGATGATACTACTCGCAAAACTCGTGTGCTTTCTCAGCACTGAATGCTGCACGCCGACACCTGCCACCACCGAACTTGCTGCAACCTTGGGTCGTCAAGTCGCCACATCTGAGGTTGTATCCACTGAAGCGCCCGGCCGCCAGCGATCTCAGCGTGGCAATCGACAGCTACGGGACGAAGCTTCCATACGAGCACGCGGTGGTTCCAGAAGTGGACGAAGGCCTTAGATGGGGCCATTGATGATAGCAGATCCCACTCGTCAAAAGTCATGAGATATTTGTCACCGAAGACGAGATACCCCATGCGGATGAGCTCGTAGCTGTTCACAAGCGCAATTTTATAGGTCGCTTCGACCTGCTTGATGCTCGAGCTTTGTCCTTTTAGGCTTTGGAGGGGAGAAATTGGAGTCACCCTGGTACAGTTCTCGATCATTTCGCTTCGGGGGGCCCTCTTACCATCTCCGTCACTCAGCTTGTCGACAGTAGCGACGCGGCACCGGGACGACACTCGTCGCTGCTTGCGATCGACCTCTACAACTATGTAGGTTAACGATTGCCCCAGACCGCCAACGTGTCTTGCGCACAACGCGAGGGCCTTTTCAACCCCGTTTAAGTCCATTTCAGAGTGTCGCTCGTTCATCGGAAACGAGCGAGCTAGCACGAGCGGCAGCAAATTAACAGCAAGGATTGCCACCTTTAACCAGAAAATTAAAGCCACGCGGCCGTTCATGCGCCAGGCAAGATCCGTCGTGAAGTAATCAACCATCTGCATCTTGTCAACTTCGTCCGAGAACACCACGGTCGAGATGCGACCATCAATGCCTTTCAGCCACCCCGACTCGGCGATTTCCATTCGAAAGTAGTGGAGAAGGCAAAACGCGGCCACCGTGGGGGTGAACAACACGTCCGAGATACGGCGGCGTAGGGCCTTGGCTAGAATATTTAACAGGCTGAAGTAAATCAGCACCAGATGAGCAATGGCCGGGTAGATGGCGAACCACGCGTCGGCCAGCCCGCTCTGCTGTCCCTCGAATCGGCAGCCCACCGTCCAAAAGGCTGCCAGCGTCATCTTCAGTCGAGGTAGTGACACAATTGGCAACAGCATGAAGCTTCCAGCCCCCGAGACGCAACCGATCCCACCGCTGAACCACTGAGTTTTGCCTTGAAGTGCCCCAACATGTAACGATATCAACCCCACGATCCACCGAGCCAAGACCAAACCAACCGACAGGTTCGAGACTAGCGTCTCCCAGTCGAAGGTTATGCGCACGGTGCGTATTTCGTCCGACTCGTAGAGGAACAGCCCAAACTCCGTCCCGTTGGCAATCGAGACCGAGCTGAACTTGTGCGACTTGCTGGACGAGATGAACTTGTCTCCCCATCGACCGAGTTTCCCTGCCGCCTCACAGTCGCCCGGGTTGGAGCAGTCCCATTCCTTTCCTGTCCGCATATTGAACAACCGGAACATCATAAAATAAGGGGCTTCCGGTGCGGAGCTGGTCAGATCCGCATACCAGCGCACGCCCTCGAGGTCTTCGTACCATCCGTTCTTCCAACGTCCCCCAGGACGTCCCAGCCACTCCATAGTGCGCTCGAAGCGGACGCTCCGGTTCACCGCCCGGAAACTTGCTAGCTTAGAAGCGCTGCCAGTGGCTGCGTACGCGTCTTGCAGGCGAAACATGCAGGCGTCGCCTCCCCACGTTGGAACTGCATGTCGAGCCTGAGGAGCGTTATCCCAGTACGGCATGATGAGAATGGGCAGCGTGTTGGGGAGCATGTACAGATTATTACTGTCCCAGTCGTCGACCACTCGCAGGTTGTCGCGCGTGAGATTCGTGTACCCCAGCGCCAGACACGCGTTGAAGATATTGTTCATGGTGTTTGCGATCAGCCTGCAGGACGACTCGTACGCAATCTGGGTAGCGGAGTCCAGCGAGTCGGTGACGGCCCCAACTCGGCGTTGTCGGAGTCGGTAGCCGTGAACCCCTGTACCAGTCGAATCCTCGAGGATGGCTGAAACTCCGGGCGCTGCGAGTAGAGAACTCACGAGCTTGGGTTCGTACGAGTTGCCCCTGCGTACGCACGCGACGACACGGTCGGGATACGGGACGTCGTTTATGCCGACAATCTGCGAGGGCCCGAGCGTTGGGCTCCTTCCGTAGAGAAGATGCCTTGTTGTTGTCTGTGAATCCCATACAGCCCCCAGAAGCTGCGAACACACGAGCGCGACGATGAACAAGCACGTAGCCCAATGGTACAGCCCCGTAGTGAGCTCAAACGGAGTGACTCGCGTGACAAACTTTGGTGGAGGCTTGGCTGGACTGGGGACGGGGATGTTGCCAGGGTACACTTGAATCCCCATGAAGGTGCTCCACTTCACGCTTGTCAGCGGCCGTAGCCGGCGCAGAGACATCTTGAGTGGAGGGCTTGCGCGTCAAAAAGGAACTATACGGTTGGGCACTCCCCAGCGTCTCTAAAATAGTTACTTACACAGCATCCGAAATATACTCCTCTCCAACGGTACAGCTGCAGGAAAATCGTCCAAAATGAGACAACATTCGTTCGAGGCAGACAACCATGGCCACGACGACAAACTCAGCAAGTTGCGTTTGGCCTTCACAGCTGAGTAATCGCCTCTGTATTACGAGCTTCTGGAGTTCACAAAGTATCGCGCTATTCGCAGGTCGTTCATGATTATCGTGACAATGTTCAGGTGCACTTCTGTCGAGAGGTTGCATACAGTCGCGAGTACGGCGACGGTGGGAGACGTGCTGGGGCTGATAGCAAGGCTGTAGAGGATCCGTCATCAGCGCACAGCAGCGAAACAACATGCCGCCACTCCTCGAATTTCACTTCGCTCGAGTGTTCCAGACCGAGACGATCTCGGCCACGCGGTGTGTAGTACTGGATCCAGAACCACAGCAAGCCGCGGAAGTTATCGCACACATAGCCTTGCTTGCCAGACACGTCCTCGTGATCGCGGAGCGCCTCCAAGATAGCTGGGAGCCGCTGCCGACGATGTTGGAACACGAGAATTACTATCGCTGTGTTCAGACAGCAAATATTCTCGTGGTTGATGTCATCCATCGTGACGATGGTCATGAGATCGCGAAGAAGTCGAACCAGGTTCACCGTCAGGAATTTGCTCATGCGGTCCATCTCGTAGTCATCCGCAAGACCGAAAGTGCCACTCTGAGGCTGCTTGGCAAACTTTTCGGAGGAAAGCAGCATCGACCGAATAAACACATTCGAATCCACCAAATTCAAGATCACAACCTCTGTTCAGACACAACAACAAACGTTAGCCTTTGATCAGCCAAAGCACCGATGCACTTCCAAACAACACGAACCCATGAAAGCTGCAAACTGCGTGTTGCTCAGCAACCCGTGGAAAAGCTGTAGTGTTTCCCAGTTGCCCTTGGTCATCTCTCCCAGCAAGTCAAAGGCTGACTGGAAGCTGCCCTGGGAACGGTACGCACCTCCACTGAGAATCTCCGTAATTAGTGCCTGCAGCAGGGGAGTCCGTGCCACGAAAAGCTGTTCACTGGGAGCCGCACGCCGTAAAAATGCTTCTACGCACGAAGCCAGCCAGAAGCGATAGATCGAGTCTACAGGCTGCTCGATCAACGCCTGAATAATCTTGGACAAAAGCCCCTTGTTTGGGTGATCAAGGTGGATCGGTGTAGAGCCTCCATCATTCATAAGCTGCACCTCGTGTTCGCTGAGCAACAACAATTTGCTGGTATTGTCGCTGTAGTCGCGATCGCAGAAGTTGTGAATCAGTCGAAGGAACTGAATCTTCAACGAGGCGTCCAGACTGCAGTCGCAGCCAGGCCCATGCAGAGGCTCGTGCGCTGGGTTGGGCGGCACCGTTGTTGTCCACTGAAACTTGTCGAACATGGTGTCGAGGGTTTTGACGAGTCCCATTTCCGCCAGCCGTTCCTGGAAATCGACCTTGCGCTTGCCGTTCAGCAGGGTGCACAGAACAAAAAGCACCTCCACGCGGTATGGCGCCAAGACGATCGACTTCATGATCACTTGCGCTTCGGCGTCTTCCCGAGCTCGCTGGTCTGGCGAACGATTACGGAAGATCAGGTCGCGAAGGATGGCGGTCTCCACAGAGAACGGGTGCTGCTCTGGATGTGACGATGAAGTCGAGTTCGGATCTCCAGAAGTGGCTGCAGCCGCCGCAGCGGCTCTGGCTTGGTGATGCCTGTGCAGGATTGTAAGATCTCCTGACGACCCGATTGCCGGATGGGTCACGAGACGGTCAATGGTGTCCCAGTCGCTCCGGTCACTTGTCTGGTAGAGGAGCGTTGCAAACTCAGCGGAAGTCGCCAGCTCCGAGGAGAACGGCTCGTACACCGGGTTGAGCGTGAAGTAAAAGTTCTGTACCTGCAGTACTCGCAGTAGTCGCTGCAGGATTAGCGGGGAGTTGAAGATCAGAGCGTGGTTGCGGTCGACGATGTTGTCGGCGCGCATCATACGGTTGCGCCGCAGCTTCAGCAGCTCCAGTGACTTGATCACCTCTGCAAATAAAAACACAAAAACAACACGCGTTGGTAAAATAAAAGCGCCCGGCAACATTCGCCGTTCGTGCACGTACTCGCAGTCTCCAGCAGTCGTCGGTCTTCAGGCTCAAACACGACGAGCGCCAGCACGCGGCAGAAGAAGGCCAGCTGCCTCGAGCTCAGCGACTGCATGATGGAGTGGAAGTTGGCTGCAGGAATACCAAACACACACAACCACGACGTCAGTAATTCAGTAGCAAACGAAAGTTAGCAATAGCCGCATATGTTGCCGACGTACGGATGCGGCTGAGGTCGAAGGACTCCTCCCGGACGGCCAGGATCTCCTCCACGAGCCCGGAGGCGTTGTCGAAGAAGCGCACGTCCCCCATGAGCTGGAATAAATACACGACGAGCCCGTCCTTGTCGCACAGCTGCAGCGCCAGGTTCACCGAGAAGTAGCACAGCTCGCGCAGGATGGCCATGGCGTCGTTCAGGATGTGCTTGCGCAGCGACGCGTCCGTGCCGCTCTTGGCGCCCGCGGCCACGACGACGGGCACGGGCGTCTCCCAGAGCGCGCGCACGTCGCAGCGCGCGCTCACGGCGTGGATCTGGCGGCGCTCGCCGTCCAGCACGAGCGACGACCAGAGCGGCGGCGTCTGCTGCTTGTCCGCGGCTGCCGCCTGCTGCTCCTCCTGGCGCAGCGCGTGCAGCACGCGCAGCAGACACTCGTCCCCGCCCACGCGCAGGAACGTCTCGCGCTCGGCCGCCACGAAGCCGCCGACCGCGTCCTCCGCCGCGGGGCCCTGCGCGCCGCCGTCGTCCTCCGCGTGCACGCCGTTGGGGTCCAGCAGCCGCTGCACGAGCTCCTGCAGCAGCAGGCGCACGCGGCGGCGGTCCTGCGCCGCGCCCGCGTCCAGCAGCGCGTACAGCTCGCGGATCAGCACGACGAAGGAGGCCCGGCGTCCGTGGAACGCGGCTGTGCGCTCGTACGCGCGCGCCTCGGCGGCGTCCAGAGCCGCCACGAACGGGGCCGGCAGGTCTGCCACGGTGCGGAGCTGCGCGCGCGCTCCCTGGCGCTTCCACTGCGCGTCCTGCACGACGGAGCGGGAGATCGTGGAGCCCGTCGCCTGCATGCGGCTCAGCGTGCTGAACACGCGGCGGCGCGCCGTCGCCTTCCTGCCCGACGTCGTCGCCCTGGTGGTGGTCTCCATTCTCGTCGCCGTGACTTGGCGTTTGTATGCGCGCGCCTATATATTGACGCCGGATCGCACTAAACCGAGGGAAGAGTGATGGTCCTTTCCCTCGCTTCAGTGCAAGCGCGACTCACCAAAGTGCGCACTCACTCTCAAATGGCCATGGCGAGCGCAGCGCAGTCGACGGCGGACGCGGAGATCCAGGCGCCGCCCGGCGACGGCGTCTCGTGCCTGCGCTTCGGCTCACGCTCGCAGCTGCTGGTCTCCTCCTGGGACTCGACGCTGCGCGTGTACGACGGCGCGCGCCTGCGCACGCGCGTGGACCTGGAGGCGCCCGTGCTGAGCTGCTGCTACGGCCAGGGCGACGGCGAGGCGTTCGCGGGCGGCCTGGACTGCGCCGTCAAGCAGATCGACCTCAACACGCGCCAGGTGGCGGCGACGCTGGGCGCGCACGCGGCCGCCGTGAGACACGTGGGCTACTCGAAGGAGTTCGGGCTGGCCGTGAGCGGCGGCTGGGACGGCGCCCTCAAGGTGCTGGACGTGCGCAGCGGCGGCGGCGCGCAGATCCACGCGGCGCAGGTGCCCAGCAAGGTCTTCGGCCTGGACGTGCGCGCGCACGTGCTGGCCGTGGCCTCGTCCGAGCGGGAGCTGGCGGTGTTCGACCTGCGCAACTTCTCGCAGCCGATGGTGCGCAAGGAGAGCCCGCTCAAGTACCAGATGCGCTGCGTCAGCGTGTTCCCGGACCTGCAGGGCGTCGCGCTCGGCTCGGTGGAGGGCCGTGTGGCGCTCGAGTACTTTGAGGACGACGTGCCGGCTGAGCCGGCCCAGACTCAGGACAGGAAGAAGCGCAGCTACGCGTTCAAGTGCCACCGCGGCAAGGTGGACGACCAGACGCTTATTTATCCGGTTAACTGCATCGCCTTCCACCCGACGCACGGCACGTTCGCCACGGGCGGCTGCGATGGCGTTGTCAACCTCTGGGACGGCGCCAACAAGAAGCGCATCACGCACCTGCGCCAGTACCCGACGAGCATCGCTGCCATGGACTTTAACCACGACGGATCGGTGCTGGCTATTGCAGCCTCGTACACGTACGAACAGGGCGAGAAGGAGTACGTGCAGGTTGATGCTGGGGTGATAGTGATGTCGGGCTTACGTTTATTATTTGTTTTATACAGCCATCCGAACGACGCCATCTTCCTCCATACGGTGCAGGACTCGGAGGTGCGACCTAAGAAGAAGGCCGCCGCATAGACGACAGGAGGCATCAGACAAGAAAATGGGGCGAAGCGCAGTTGCAGCTCACAAAGAGGGGCGTCGTATGAGCCCGCGTCCAAGCGGTCGTCTTGTTGGTCTGCAGAGCTCGAGTACGTTGAGAAGAAATAGAGCTGTCCTGGTAATGGTGGTATTCATTTCGTGCTTTATTGCTTTTGAAGTATATGGCAGAAGTTGGCATACAGGATGAGCGCGGTTTACTACGGCAACAGGCAAAAATACGTCGGCCAGTTTCAAGTGTCCATAGGACTGGCGGCTTTCAATGCTGGACACGATGTTCCAGCGCTAATTTCCTGGAGTGAAGTGGACACCATCGCCGCAGCGCTTTGATTTGAAACGGTGGCATTAGTGTCCTTATTGTCTCGACTATTGGAGACAATGAAGCGATGAATCCGTGGTGATATCACCGCAGCTATCCTGACCAGGTACAGGTGGGCTCGCCGGTCATTGAAGGTGTCGCTTGGTATGAGTGTATGGGGCCATGCAGGATGCGGCCAAGAACCTTTCCGCTTGTCTTCGCTGCCGAATGAACAGGACGGTACGGCCAGGATTTTCGCCAAACAGCCATGAAACTCGCAGCTTGAATATGGGAGCAAGCTAACAGCGAGATTTCTTTCCGCGTGGCGATGGACCATCTCTCCTCATGACATTTCTGAAGGTATCCTGAAACAGCGACGAAGAGGGGAAAACAGGTCAATCCTAACAGTTGGTCACGGGTATGATGGCCAAATAGGTCACACAGCAGGACGCTAGGTCACATGACCAAACTTACCAGGTCACACCCCCACGAGATACTTATGATAAAGAAGGTCAGATGCGCGCACACGCGCATGAGAATGGCAGCGAGATGCATCCACGGATGCAGTTTCAAAACCAACCCGAAGCTATTTGCGCTTTTCAAAACGGAACATCGCTAGCCGCCTCTTCAGGAATCATAAACCAAGCTTCCTCAACCAGCACACGGCACTTCCGTCAGCTTCTTTCGTATCTGCGAGCTCGCTCTACACGATGACACGCCGTAGGAACAAAACGACTTCTCCACCGACGATCAACCCATCCTCTCGCCGCTCGAATCGGCAACCACGTCCTCGTTTCTCTCCGCTGACTCGGCGGAGTATCAGTTCGCGACGTCCGAGCCAGCAAGTCCCCGACGTCCATGAACTGTCCGACAACGGTGTTGTGGGGGCCGATTTGCGTCCGACGCAAGCGTCGTTAGATCTCCTCGCTGCTACAGCGGATACGACTAGCATGCGTGCGCAGGCTTCGTATGCATCTGTAGAGGCGCCTTGCCTGGACAACATGGCAAGGTCGCGGACGTCAACGACGATGCTACTCGATCCCTCGGGCTCCACAGTGCCCGAGATGCTGTTATCACAACCGGCGGACGGCGGCCACCTGCGGGAAGAAGCTGGAGGAGCTAATGGTGCCCCAACGGGTTGTACTAACGCGACGGTGGGACGGACCCGGGTGACGTCAAAGAAGCGAGATGGACATACGAAGGTGTACTACCAGGGTTTCTCGTACGCTCGGGCGAACATTACGAGCGTCAAGATCTCGTATCGTTGTAGCTCGTATTGACAGAAATGCAAGGCGCGATTTGTGTACATGGCTGCCACGGCATCGTTCGACTTCAGTGAACTCGTCCCCCGCACCTGTCGATCGGGCGCTGCACTTCAAAGCAGGACCGCTCAAGCTGATAGGAGCCCCTGTGAAGATGTGAGCGAGGCTGTACTAGAGGAGGTGGCTGCCGTCGGCACGAAGAAGTTGCCGTCCTCGTCGTCAAGGTTGGGCGTCGTGACCGCATCGAAGTAGTTGCCCTCCGCCAGCACGTACGCGCTGGCCGCCGCTTGGTATGATCACTTCCCCATGAATTCGACGGCAATTGGTGTGCAAGAGGAGTTTAAAAACACCAATAAATATTGTGGAAACCGATTATATTGTCTAATTGGAGTATAAATCGGTTGATTAAGCAGATGATTAAGCTTAATCGAGTCGGATTTAGCAAATCCGACCTCCTAATTAGATCGACAGCCTAAGATTTGTACTCTGATTTGACAGAGCAGTCTGTTGTGCCTATGGCAAGCTGATTTAGGTACTCCACGACTTACAAAGCCTTGGACGGCTGATTTGCATGCTAATCAGCCCGAATGTCCGACACCCACTCGGCATTCGGCGGCTGATTTAAAGTAAAACCGACAAACGCTAATGCTGACGAGAAATGACAGCGCAAATACATGACTTCACAACTTGATAAATAGATAGCAGTACAGTACATATCGACTGCTCACAGAAGCGTATTTAATGCACGCGGTGCTATTCCTCGTTAGTAGGTGCGCGAAACATTAGCTCGTGGCGGTAAGTGGTCGTTCCTCGCATTGCAGGCGATAATGAGGCAACCCCTATTTTATTAACCTTACACCGATTTATACCCTTACCGATGCCATATGAAATCGTAGGAATCCTCGATTTACTACTAGTCAAATCCCTCATGAACGCTGCTTTATCAGCTAATCCGCTCGGACAATGTAATCGGTTTCCACAAAAAATACTACTTATTACTGTAGTAAGAAGCCGTTGCTACTTACTTTTGCTGTTAAAATCTTACAGAAATCGAGCTCAATTGTAATAGAATGATATACTAAAAACAAAAACTTCCAACGCTTGTGAGGTTTGTATCTGAATTATAGGTGCATGGGATCTAAGACATGATTTGGTAAGCGTAGGATATGCTGTACGATGAGTAACCGAAGTAAACTATCCACACGAGTTAGACACTTTTGTTCTTCCCGCCTTTGTCCTTAACTCTTGTTAGCTCTACACTTGAGTTGTGGCTACATTAGTGGAAAAAAATACGAAAATAACCCAATTATTAATTGGGGGAGGTTGGAGAGTCCAATCAATATCGTATTGTATTTTGCTTAGCCCTGGGCGCCGTCATGCCGATCCACGCTGCTAGACATTACGTGAATAAATGAACGCTTTAGGTCATTGAAAGACTCACTCACTCCGGTGTAAATAAGCACAGGATATTGTGTCAACTACAAGGTGGCACGATACGGCAGCTCGGCATCTTACCGTAACACGGTAACACGGTAACTCGGTCATCGTGACCGAGTTATGGTAACACGGCCATGGCAAAATCTCGAGCGCTATGCGACGCCATCGCCCTCCCTGATCCTGGTGGTATTAAGTACTCTATGAGCGTGGGCCTCACACGTTGGTGCGGGTCCTATGCCTCTCGATTAAGCACAGTGATGCCATACGCACTAGCCCGGCCAGACTAACTTCAACGTGGTTACATTTCGGAGGAACAACGCACCAGTTGCAACGAGCTACCCGCTATCAAAGAGGCTGCAGCCGAGGAAAATGACTTTCAGGGAGATCAGATCCGGGCTCTGTGTAAATTTCTGACGTCGCAAAAGCAACCGGCACGTCTAGCGAAGCACGTGAGGGCGGAGTATAATAAAAGGGAGATAGTCTATTATTTTACAGAGGTAATGCTGTCCGACTAGTCACTGTCAACAGTAATGAAAAAAGGCTGAAGCCATAGCAAACGGTGGACATCCGTGTATTTCTTATATATATGTATGACATTTCTTAAAAGCTAAGTATTCATGCCTTGATTTATTTGTACTAGCCTTCCATCCGTCTTTGTATCATATCCCTAATATTTTCTTTTCCTGAACCGACAGAGTCGAGCAACTTGATTCTCCCACGAAGGGTAAAACGCCACCACCTCCTCGAATCCAAGATAAAAATGCTGCGTGCACAGCATTCTGCTACTGTAGCACACGTCTCCTTTCTCATACCCGTGCTCTCGAGTTGTCGTTATGTTGTAGTGATGTGAACCGGTATCATCCTGATGACAACCACTTGAAAACTCAGAACAATCCATCTTGGCACATTTAATGCGTGATATCACATTAAATATATAAACACATTGAAGATCTGAATAACACACAAAACACTGAAAAACACAGAGACATCACTGACGGGCACATAATTTGCCAGTGCCTCCACACAATGCCAAAAAAATGCACCGGATCCGGCTCTATTTGTGGCCACCCTGGCCGTCGTACTCGTCGACCACAAATTGACTGGCACATGAGGTGCCCCCGAGCTAGCCTAATAACTCTGGAGATATAGCTCGAAGAAGAAAAAGCATAGTTAATTCATGTGTGGTAGATGAAGACGAAGAGAACGGCGTGCCGCTTGCCTGCTTCCGACCAATATTGAGCGTGAGGGGCTCAGGAACAGTACTCAAAATCAACTATCGGTACTTTTCACACAGAAACGGTACCATTAAATACCAATACGGTACTTGTGACTACAGCACGGTACATACTCTGGCTGCACAGTGTCTCAATCGCTGCCACTCTCGCTTGTGGATTCGTGTCAACCTTAAGCCACGATGGGGAGGGATCCCATCGAGTGGCGGGAGCTGGCCTACGCCGTAGCGCAAGATGACGGGATCGAACTGCTCGATTCCAGGAAGGCGTCGCGTATTACAAGGTGCAACACGACTCGCTGCACGATTTGTGGAGATGCAACGAAGCATAACATGCAGTACCGGCTTCTCGAGTGCACGTCGGCAGCGTGCTTGCAAGGCCGCTGTGAATGGCGCGGAAAGGTCCTCACCTGCCCTACCACCCACAGAATGACCGTGTATGAAGCCGGTCGCCATTGGTCAGATGCAGCGTCGCCCCGACGCGTGAAACTTACAAGACAGCAGAAGAAGTATTGTGGAGAGCTTGCTGCTCAGAGGGTGAAGCCAGTCCGCGTTCGTAATGCGCTTCGAGTCCAATTTGGTCTACAAGGGGAATCGGTGCCACGATTGCTCTCCATTCAAAATTTTGTCCACTACTATTCAAAGACACAGCTTGGCTGCAATGATGACCACGATGAAGTTGTGAAGATTGTGCGCGAGATGGCGTACCAAGATGGCGCCGATGACTTTCGACCGATTACTTTCACGGATTTCAAAACCCCCGATGGTCTGCTTCACGTCGGTGATGGCTCGGACGAGGAGCCTTTTGTCGCTGGAATAACAACCCGGGCGTTGTTGACACGTTTGGACCGGGATCCTTCAACGTTCATCTTCCACATCGACACAACGTTTAAGCTATCTCAGGTGGGCTACCCGGTGTTGGTTATGGGCATATCAGACCGCTCGCGCTCGTTCCACCTCGTCGCGTTCTTTATCCTATCCCAGCGTAGCGATAGCGTCTACACTGCGGCCTTAAGTGCTTTCCGCGCTATTTACACGGATACTACAGGAAAGCAGATTCGTCTAAAGTTTGTGATGGGCGATGCTGAGAGTGGTCAGCTGACCGCGTTGGAGCAGGGTTTCCGAGATGACTCGGACTTCATGTTCCTGATGTGCTTCTTCCACGTAATGAAGAAAGTTCAAGAGAAGACGAAGTGCCTCCCAGATCGTGTTGCCAATGGAGTACTCACCCAGATCTATGACATGCATTTTTGCTCAAGTTTTCCCGAGTTGGTCCAAGCCGCAAACTGTTACTGGAAGGAGTGGAATGAGCGAAGTGATCTCGAAGCGTTTACTGCCTATTTCAAGTCTCAGTGGCTTGGTGCCCGATTTTCGCGCTGGCAATGTTGTTACACGGCGCCAGGGTTTGCCACTACCAACAATCCTGTGGAATAGGTCAATCGTGTAATCAAGCGGGACTACACGCTGCGGTCGCGGTTGAAGATGGGCATGCTGATAAACGTCCTGGCGGAGTGCTGTGCGGATATGCCACACCAACCTAAACCATTCCGGATGCAACCTGAAGCCACAGCCCTTCTTGTCCGACGTGCGAAGCAGTTAGCCAGTGACAAACTTCTGCAGCTGAACGAACAATCCACTGGCGGCCCCAATCCTGCCCATGTTCGAGTTCAATCTCGTCCGGCCCCTCGATTCTACATTCCCTCGAAAAAGAGAACCGTGGAGTAATTAGCTATAACAGCGCAAATGGGTGGGAACTACGCGCGAATGGAGTACCACGGACAGCCTGACGAAGGATGGCTTGTCGATACGGCGGCTGGATGGTGTCAATGCAGGTATTGGAGAAAGTTTGGGTCGTGCATCCACCTCCTTCACGCGAGGTTCGCTTCGCATAGGGTGAACGCCCAGGGAAGGCGCATCCTAGTGAACCGGAACATCATCCGTAAGGCTGGAGATAACCAAAACGTGGCTGCAAATGCTTCGGCAGGACGGCCACCGTTGAACGGTGCTGGTCTATCGCTCACGTAGCGTTTCATTGAGTCCCTCATCCTCAATATTGCGAATACAAAGCAAACGTTCATGTAAAAGCGTTTGTTGACGTTGCTACATTAGCTTCTAACTACGCGTTTCGCATGAAACCCTCCTCGGTTGCTGCTTCCGGCACGAAGTATTGTGTTTTGCGGTTGGCCCCTCACCCTCAA